TGCGCGGGCTGGCGCCGGCCTTGCTGTTGCCCAAAGCCCGCTCGGGGCTCGCGTGCCTTGGGCAGTTTCTCTGCACCTCGCAGGATGAGGCCTATCGCCCCGCTCGCAGAGCACCAGCCCAGAGCCCTGCAGTAACTCGGCTGCAGCACAGCTGCTGTGGTCGCTACAGGAAGCACAGCACCGTTGTGCTGGGAGCTGGGCAAAGCGCTTTGTCCTCTGGGATTGAACGAAACTGCCGAGGCCCAGGCCCACTGCCGCCCTGCCAGGTGTGCTGGCATCACGCTGATGACACAGCACTGTGCGTTTGGTTCAAGCAGCTGGGCGGTTTGCAGAGAACAAAGCCCTGCTGCCTTCCTGGCAGCGTGGATAAGACTAGGTTGAGGGAGGGGGGCGGCAGCATTACCGCCTTCTGCAAAGCTCTGCCGCTCCCGTGGGTCTCCGTAGCTGTGCTGGGTCAGGTCAGCCCTGAAGGTCAGCAGAGGTTTTGTCCCCATCCCTATGTGCTGTGGGATGCTTGCAGCTCACTGCTCCCAGCCAACTGATTCAGTACCTTCTCTGTGCTTCTCCCTAGCATTTATTTACTTGTTTCAGATTGATTCTCTGCAGCTCGTGGTTTTGCTAGAAAATTCGCAGCCTGTAGATAAGGATTTCAAGCTGAGGAGCAAGCCACCTGGCAGCATCTCCCCCATGGTGTGGAGGGCAGATGGATCCAGGAGCACTTGCTGTCGTGCACGCGGAGGAGCAGGCCCTTCGCCACCATCCTGCCGCTGTCTGGAGCCCACCCCGCGGTGCGGAATGGCTGCCGAGCCAGGGCCGCGTGGGCCCTGCTTTGCCCCCGCTGCGGCGCCAGCAGGCTTGCAATGCCAGCCCGCGTGGGGAGCAGGGCCTTGCCACGTGCGGGACTTTGTGCAAGAGGCAGCCTCCGCCCAGCCTGTGATGGCAGCCGTGGCGTTAACCATTTGTGTCCATTGGGCAGCAGGGTTTCCCACAGCCCGGGGAGACGGCGAGCAGCTGCAGGGTGGCCGTGGGGAGGCCGCGGGCCTTGGAGGTGATGCTGGTGCTGCGGCTGTCACGGTGCCATGCTGCCCTCCCCGCCCCCCCGTGCCTTCTGCCCCTCGCTCTCCGCCCTGCTTCCCCGTTCCCTGCTTTCTGTCTCCTGCTGATTCTCTCCTGTCCAGAGGGGCTAGTGCTCAGTCTCGTGTGCTGGAAAGACTGCCAGCGAATGTTTCTGTGTGCTGCCTGCCAGGTCCCGAGGGAAAAGGCCTGGAAAAGCAGTGCGGGAGGAGCGGTGGGAGCGAGGGAAAGCCATTGTTTCTCACTGCCTGCCTCTGCATTTTCCAATGGGAAAAGTCTCTCTGAGGCACCGAGTTTATGTCAGTGCTGAGGCGGCCCCCTCCCCCCACTGCCGGCTCTCTGGTCCCTGCGCCGTGGAGGAGAGGTGGCAGTGCTGCCGCTAAGAATGGAGACGTGTTTTCAATTTGCCTCCTGCTTATCTCTGGTGTTTGGACAGAGAGGTTTAAAACGCTGGATTTTCTGTCCCTGCAGAGTAAACACAGAGCACCCGGCAGCACAAACTATTTCTGGCTTATCAGTGGAGGAATGCAGCAGCTGAGGCTGTGTGCGAGTGGGCCGTCAGCAAGGCCCTGAAGGGGCCCCCTCCCCACTCCGCGCTATTAGAAGTGTGAGAGCCCAGCAGGACTCAGAGGGGAGAGTTGGAGAAAAAGGCAGAAAAGGGAAAGAAAGAGGAAGAGAGAGAGTGAGAGAGGCTGAGCAGACCCTGATGGCTACAGACGAAGTTACAGGAGGGGCTCGCAAAGCTACGAAAAGCAAACTTTTTGAGTTTCTGGTCCATGGGGTGGTGAGTCGGGAAAGTTAGTGAGCTGCTGGCTCCGAATAGAGGGATGAGTGGAGAGCGGAGGCTCTGCCTGGGCTCTGTGGCGCCCGGCGCGCGCTCCTGGGTGCCATCGCGCCTTGCCAGGAGAGCGCCGGGGTGCACAGAGCCCCACGATCTGTTCAGCGTCGTGGATGATGCAGGCTGGTCTCTGGGGGGGGTGTGTGCTGTGATTTTGCTTTGATTCTCCGTGAATGGTGAATAGCTGCCTTCTGAGCCTGCTCAGTGCAGAATCTGCACCGGATCTGACCCAGATGGGCTTGTAGGACACTTTGTTCTGTAATCAAACTTGTGTTTTGGAAAACAATTCTGATGAAAGCCTGTGGAAGCCCTGTGGTGCTGCCTCTGGTTCTTGTGTCCAGACTGGGCTCTTATGTATCCTCTGGCTACTTAACAGGTGACTTTCAGTGGCTTGGAGAGATTAGCTCTGCAGACTGTAGCAATCTATAGGCACTCGCCCAAGGGGAATTTTGGGGTGCTATGGCCAATTAAAGGAATCCTTCAAGTCTTCAAAAATCATCTAGCTTTTGTTTAAGAGTTGGGTCTTCAATCTCCTTTTAAGGGGAATTGCTAACCTCTGTTTTTCTGTCGTTGGATACTATGTTTTTAGATGATTTGCTAATAGTTGAATGCATTCACCATTTATAACATTTGGATTTCTTGTCTAGGTAGATATTAGAAAAAAATTACTAGGAGCCCGAAAGAATCCAGATATTGTTTCATTACCAGTAGTCCTGGGTGTTTCCTCTCCTGAGGATTCTGGTGCCTCTGTGACACTTTTTTGAAGACATCAGGTGGGGGTTCTTGTGCAGCGATAGCAGAAATCTGAGGAGCTCAATGCATGCTGCAAAATTGCCTCCATAATTCAGGCTTACTCTAGATAATATAGAAAGTAACTGGTGACCTGCAGGTCCTGGATATGGTGGGGCCTGCAAGGCTTCGGCCCTCCAGGTGACATTTGGTTTGCATGAAAACAGTGAGCTGTTGACATGGTGCCAATGTGCAGTCTGTTGCTAGATTGGCAGGTGTGCAGAGATGACCAAGTGGCTGATGTGCAGCTTGTGTCAGTGGTTTTGCTGTGGACACGTGGGATCATGAAGATCCTGGGCTAGGTTCTGGCCCAGGTGACTATAGCTAGGCTGAAGCATAAGCAAAGTGGGAGGTGTTGGCATATGGAATGCTTTTTCCTTTTCCAAGGTTTCTGTTGGCATTTGCACACCAGTGAACTTCCTTCAGTATTAAGAAGAGTGGCTAAAATTGTTACATGAATGTGTTTCTTCTGCATCTAGCTGAACTTCATGTGTAATGAGCATGCCGTCCTCTTAAGTACTGGAATTTTTAGTTTATAGCAAAATGAATACAGCAGACCTGGTTTCCATTAGCTATTTGAATGCTAAAAAAGTCTGACTTCACTGTGAATTCAGCCGCTAGTGGCATCTTAGTTGAATATCTGCATTTGCATCTGTATGTCGTCTTCTTGCGAGCTGTGGCTGGGGTTTCTTGTCTGTTCTCTTGCTTGAAGGACCCTACCCTCACCTACCCTAGCCTCTGTGTTGATCTTCCTCATTGGCTTTTGCTGCCTTATTCGTTCCATAAGTTTCAGCTTTATGTCAGGTATTTTTTTGATCAAAGCACAAGAAGTCAGTCTTCCTTTACTTAAAAAAGAGAAAGCAAACTAACAAGAAAACCCCCCCACATACTTCACCTTACCTCTTCAGGTCCTGTGTTCTTCCAAGTATATGAATGTGCCATCACGGCTGTTGCTTTGGATTCACATCTTGAGTATTTGGGTTTATTACCACATACACTGTGATAGTATTAGAATTAAGTCCTTGAAAAATTTAATTCCTTGGAGCCAGAGTCTGTTCTCGTTTCAGGAAAAAAATACTCTTTGAGTTATTATTATTATTTTTTAAATCTTTGTGCTTATTTGATTTTTTTGGCATTATTTTTTTGGCAAAGATATGGGGGATGTAAATAGAGGTAGAATATTGTGAGAAAAAATGCTATATGAACAGTTTATTGAAAAGGAAAATTTTGCAGCATTTCCTGAGGGCAGTCAGAATTTGGATTCACTTGATCTTTCTGGAAACATATTCTCCTTTGCTGAGGTCACTTTGCCCTTTGCTCTTGTATACTTCATCTTGCCTTTGTTCTTTTACATAATGCCAGCTTAGGAGGAGTCTTCTTCCCTCTTTGTCCCATTCAAATGGGACACCCCTATAATGTGAAGTATCTTAATGGTTAAAAAAATCTCAAGGGCAATATTTCATCCCCATCCTGCAGGAATTCTTGATAGTTTGTTTTATCTCTGGCTAGCTGTTTGTTGTTTAAACAAGGTTATATATATGTTTTTGTTTTATTTTATGATTTTCCTGCATCATCAGGGTCTTATCCACTGTTTCTGAGAAAGGTTGCGTTTTTTTTTTTTTTTTTTTTTTTCCTAAGGCTTCATCCTTCACTTTGTCCTTTTTTGGTCTCTGCTCTATTTCTAACTTTTTTTTTATGGAAAAACGTGGCTTTAATGACCGTCTTTATGCTGATTTATCTCTTTATTGATGTGTTTTCTACTATCCAGTAGTACATTTCAGGCCATCTTTATGACATCTCCCTCTGGGTGTCCAGCTGTTGCCTTAAATTTTGTTGATCCAAAGCGAGCTGTTAGTCTTCCTGCAGGCCACTCATCTTCCACTTTTTTTTCCTATCCAGTAGACCCCATCATAGGCTTTCCAGTTGGTTGGACCCTTTGCCTGAATGTCATCTTTGTCTCTCTTTTTTTCTTTTTTCTTACTCAAACAGTTGATTTTCCATATAGCCTTGAGAAGATCAACGATGCGGTTCTTGTCAAAGCTCTTCTCCAGACATCTATCCCCTTGTGACTCAGTTGCAATAATCTTTTCCTCTTTGGTACTTCAGACCATTGCCCTTAAATGTGTCATCTTCACACAGGAAGCTGCTGAGAGGTTCATTTTCTTCTCCCGTTGTTTTGACTTCTTTCATCTGCTTCTGTGTCCTTTTTCTGTTCCCCTTTATCTTCCTTCCAAAACCAATCATCTTGCCTTTTATGGAAAAATCTATGTATAAAAGTATATGTCGCTTTCTTAACTATCAGGTTGTATCTGTGTTTACAGCATACCTGCTGTCAGGTCAGATCACCTTTTTTTTCCCCATAGTGATATTGTTCTTTGTTCCCTGTGCTGTGCTTAGGGAGCTCTTCCTGTTAAAATAAGTCTTGATTCATATTCATTTTCGCTTATATATATATGCAATATATTTTTCATAGTTCCTGCTAATCTCTGCTATTTAATATCAGTTTCATATCAAGACTGCTAATTTATTCAAACTTATGCATCCCTATATGATACCTTTACTGATTCTGTTGTCTATTTGTCTGCTTATCTATCTCTCAAATCTTGTCATAGATGCTTCTCGTAAGTCCAGAAATTATATTATATGAAACAGCATTTATTATAGTGAAATAAAGGCTTCAAAGCATACCATGGTACAACCAAATGTATGATATAATGATAAAATAACTCATTGCCAATGTGAAAACAGACTAAAAGATGGATACAGTGCCCTGAAGATGTGTATGGAGCACCCGGTAGATATATCAGTGATCTGAAGAAGAGGATGAGCAATGGGTTTCATGAACAAATGTTGCAGCATGTCTCCTTCTACATTTCTGAGTTTTAAATGAACTGTAATCATTCAAGAAGAAGTTCGGGATATCGTTGTGGGTGCCTAGTGTGTAGCAGCAGCCACTGCCACTGAGAAGGCAAGTAAAATTTTGGCCTGATTAAGAGTAGGGGCAGGGAGTAGTACAGAGGACATTGCAAATCAATAGGATATGCATACAGGAATACTGTTTTGGTCATCTGCGTGACTAATAAGCGAAAAGTAACTCAGAGAGCAATGATAGTGGGAGGCCTGTGAAGACTGCATCACTAAGAAAATGGAAGAGTGATGGTGGTTAGATTTGGAAAAAAATGATTGCTTTTTTATAATACCTAAGGTTAGAGATTGATTGGGAAAGTTGTAAAATCAGTGGAGGTTAAAAAAGGGAACTGGTTAAAGAAGTGAACATGTCAAAGATGATGCAGATACCAGCGACCCTTCTTTGAGACAAGCAGAAGGGCTGGATGGTTTGCTAAGGGCAAGTTTCCTCATACTTCAATGTATTAAAAAATTCTGTTTGTTTTACTATAACAGGAAGAACATGGCAGTGCTCAAGAAACATGTACATAAAGCACTTAGGGACATGGTTTAGCAGGGTGGTGGTGATGGGTTCGTGGTTGGACTCAATGATCTAGAAGGTCTTTTCCAACCATAATGATTCTCCAAATTGAATGGTGATCTACTTTAAATGGATAAAAGTGATCTTTTAGTAGTAATCTCTACAGATAGGTGACTTGCCGAAAAAAACTATGTCACTGAGGCACAGAGAATATTAGGTAGGAAAAAATGTAATTTTACTAATGAAAAATATCCTACTAATTTTATATTTTCATGCATATGAATACTACCTTGTCAGAGCATAAATCAGCTAACACTGATGGGCATAAAGGAGCCTCATGAGCAGTCATTTTTGGACATTTTTTTCTACTTCCCTAATACAGGACTGTGTGCCTGCCTATGCTTGAACTTAATCAGAGGAAGGGTTCAGGAATAGTGTCACTGGTTTAATTAATATCTGTTTCCTGCTTTGCCATACTAAAGAAGGAGATGTTTGGAGCGAGCATAGAGCAAGCAGGAGAAATAAAGTTATCTGGCCTCCATAAGCTGATTTGATTGGGAAGATACTTGCAGAAGACTGGTGGAGTAAGAACATCGGTCAGTGCTCAAAAGGGTGAGCAAGGTGACAAGGGATTTGTTCTGCCTGAACCCTGGACTAACTGCAGGTCAGCAAATGCAGAAAAGAAACACATAATTAAGAAAGAAAAAAATAATAATTCTATCTAAGGTCT